AGCGGGGAGTGTGGAGTAAGTCGCTTAAATGTTTAAGTTAGGATTTATTTTTGGAGGAAGAGCACTCGAGGAATATTTTTTTGGCATCATTGCCGTATCTGCTAAGGCTCTTACACATTCATTTGTATTATTTTTTTAAAGCCAGTGCTCGTGAAATACATGTGGTGTCTTATGGCTGAGAGCTGTGCCGGCGGCAAGGTTGCGACTGTAAATCCCTGCAGTCGATAAAAAACGTGATGAAATCTGTAGGAAGGGTCCATTCCCTACCAAATGCAGAAAGGAAAGTTTAGTAGACATGCTAGATACAACGATGGGTCTGAACCACAGGAAAATACCGTGTGTTTTGGGAGGAACCTGTCTTACTACTTAAAATAACAACCCGCTCTGGATTGCAGGGACCCTGATCAGGGACTCGATATGTAGGTAGCTCGTACAGGGTCTGGTTTGGATGGGAGGGTGAAATACTCATGAAATTCCCCATGTGAAATACTCATTAGGGGTTACACAACGAAAAAAAACCCATGTAAACAATTGGCTGTTCACAGGCCAGGTAAGTGCTTCCTTGGGCACCAAAATAAGGTGGTGTCCTGCAAGGGCAGCGGTAGTCAAAATGGCTATTTAAAATGTCTGCCCTGGTGAACTGTCAATAATAAGCTTCGGTTTTCCCTTGGAAATTCTTAACTTTGTTTTACCTGTAATAGTGTTCAGCTGCATAACCTGAGAATGAAGTAATTTAAAAACATTGTCATTTTTAACTTGCAGCAGGGTTAAGGTTCAGGGAATGCTATTCCTGATGCTGTTGTGACAGTATGCCCCGAACCTCAGCAGTGTTTGGTATAATTATATACATATGCTAATCCCTTGTCCTAATTAATATACACTTGCTAATATAACAGGCTGTTTCATACAAGGAATTTGCCCGTGTGGAACAGGTTGCTGAAGTAGAGCTTTCATTTCAGATTCTGAAAGATCTTGAACCTCCTGGGTTTGCAGATGGTGGTCTGAGAAGGCTTGCTTCACAGCAGTGTAACTTGTCATGCTCATCTAGCTGTCTTGTCTTGTCCTGAAAACTGGCTCATGTGTTTTGTTCTGATTTGGTGTTGTGGAGATTTGGAAGATGGCCGCATCAAAAACTCTGCTTGCTTAATTGCAAATGTTGTTAGGACTTAATTTCTTCCCCATGTTGTATTGCACAACAGCTCTTGTGAACTCTGCGCACTTTACGCTGTGTTCAGTGTGACTGATGTTTTTATAGAGAGGAAAAGTGAGGTGATCCTGATGAGTGTAATGGGTTTGCTAGTTTACTGAATAAAGCAAAGGACTTGCAGTTTCTCACCACAGACTTTCTATAAGGCTTTGTAGAAATCTCGCTTTATTTCCTTTTCAGATTGGTGACGATGAACAAGGTTACGACCTGGACTTGTTCTGCATACCCAAACATTATGCAGATGATTTGGAAAAAGTCTATATTCCTCATGGGCTCATCATGGACAGGTTGGTTTGACTTCAGACAGTACACTGCTCCAGCTGATTCCATGCTGCTGGAATAAACAATCTTCCAGTGATAGTTTTGCTGCCTGGTGACTGTCTATATAGATTAATAAGAGACGAAGAAGTGCAAGTGCTAATTAACTCTTTCTTGTTTGGCTTCTAAGAGTTTGTACATTTGCAGTTATGCTATTGTTTGGAAATTTGTCATAATTCACCAGCAAAATTTTGTAGTACATAGCAATTTACAACTTACTTTCCAGAGTTTCTTTGATGTTAACCTTCTTAAAACCTAATTAGAAAACAGTATTTGTGCCAGTTCAGTCTAAAAACAATTATAGTCTCTTGAATTTCCTTAGGATATTAATAAAAGTAAGTTATTAATCACATCATTTTAGACTTTCTCATGTTTGTAGGGTAGATAAGTAATATCCAACTTTATCCTACCTTCTGGGAAAGACATTAGTATCTGCAAATATCAGTCTGTCACTTTTGTGGTTGCTGAAATCTGTGATGTGCTGTGGAAGTTTTATCTTGTGTGATCAGAAATTGGTGCATAAGACTATTTTTGTTTTACTTTGATAGTTGCTAATTCCGTTTAAGAGAATGAACAGCAAATTCAGTGAAGTAGTTGTTGGAGAGACACAACCGTTTAAAAGTGGTGCTGGGTGGATCTTCCTGGAGGTCTTGTGAATAGGAATGCATGTGGATTTTGTGTGGTCCTGTTTGATTAGATATAATAAATGTTCCTATCATTTTATTTTTTTAAATACGGTAAAAACTTTACACTGGAAGTCCATATAGGGGAAAAAATTGGCCAAAGTACATGTCATCAAGTAATTGATGTACAGTTTATAATGGTAGGCTTTCTCTGAGAAACCTGCTGTCAGCTGGCACACACTAAATACATACCATGCTTTCTAAAATAACTTACAAGATAAATTTAGAAACAATGATTGCAGAAAAACAGTGCAGTAGTCTCTTACTCTGCTTTGTTGGTATTGTATGTTGCGGTTGGGACAAATTTCTGGCATTCTAACTTGGCAAATAAACTTAAACTCTTTAGTTTACAATTTGGGAATTTTCTTGCTTCTCAGTTAGTGAGGGCTACTGCCTTTTTGGTTATGTTAGCTTATGTTGCTCTTTGCATAGAAGCTGAAGCTATCTTTGGAAGGAGAAAACACGCTTTCATGTCCCATATCTGACAGTGAAACAGCTTCAGGGTGTTAAGATTTGCTTTGGCTGAGTGTGACGTATGAAAACAAAGGCATTTGGTAGTGCTACTGTTAGATTAACCTTGAAAAGCAAAACTTTGTTTACCAGTGACATGTAAAAGTGACTGAAGTGGTAGGCAAATATTTCCAAGCAAAATGTATTTCCAGGCTTGATGCGTGTATTTGCTACTGTTAGTGATATAAAATGCTGCTGCTGTAGTAAGCAAATGAAATGTATTATGACAGCTAACTCTTTCTTGATTTTGTATAGGACAGAGAGACTGGCACGAGAAATTATGAAGGGCATGGGAGGACACCACATTGTAGCACTCTGTGTACTCAAGGGTGGCTATAAATTTTTTGCTGATTTATTAGACTACATCAAGGCACTGAACAGAAACAGTGACAAATCAATCCCCATGACTGTTGACTTCATTAGGTTGAAGAGTTATTGTGTAAGTATCTCTGCAGTACTGTGCAATTTTTATATAAATTTGACTAACTTCCAATTATTAACAGAGATGGTTTAATATTGTTATTGCCAGAATGTGCTAATATTAAACAAATAATTAAGGGAAAGCTAACTTACTCTTTCTCTACCTTATTATATAACCTGTTTTCTTTTAGACCTTGATATCTCTGCAGCCCAGTGAAATCCTTATGCAGAGCACAGAGACCCTTTCCATGTCCTTTACTTGTTAAACAATTTCCTCTCTGCCCACCACCCCATCTCTAAATCCGTGGCTCTAGAATAATACAGAGGATTCTCCTGCAACAAAAAATTCATTTTAGGAATTTTTATGTGGCTTAAACATCATTCATTGGATAGGAAGACCTGACAGCTGCAAAAATGGTTATTCCTGAGTTACCTACCTCATCTTTTGTTTGGCTCAACCAAACAATGAACAAAATTAGTTGTGTTTGGCCTTGAGGAAATAGTAAATTCATAAACCTAGATTTATGATTAGCAGCTACTGAATATGGCTCTACCTTTTCAAGACTAGGCATAGGTTGCTTTGGGTTTACATTTTTTGGAAAATAATTTATTTTCATTCTGAACACAAGGATTTAACTTTATAGGGAAATTGAACATTCTGTGACATGAGGTAATATGTAAGTTTTATGGAAGGAAGCACGAGGTTATGTTGTGCAGGTCAAAGGAAGAAGCAGATGTACATTAGTACTGTATGCTTTCTGACTTACTGACAGCCTATTCTTGCATTTTCAGCATGGTATTTATGATTTGTTCCATAAGACCATCTGTAGCGTGGAAATAATTACATATTTTGGTTTCAGTTTAGAGTGTTTGAATAAATTGTTTCGTCAGGTTATGCTGTTAGTTCTGTCTCAGCAACTTTGCGTTCAAGTCAGCAGTATAGGCTGCTTGTCGCAGTTGTGGACGAGTACCTGTTCCAGTAGAAAAAAAAATAGATTACTAAATTGGAAACTTAACCTCATTCTTCATTTCATTAAACTGCAAAACCAGAGATGGGCTTATTTGCAAACTTAGTTTGGACTGTCAAAGAACTTCATAAATTCATGATTTCTGTTGAGCGATCTCTTATCATTTCACGGCAAAGCCCAGAGCTACGTGGGTCTTTGGTCAAGTCTGTTTGCAGGGCGAGCAGCCCTGGCTGCCCGAGGCGCACACATGGCTGGCTGTCCAGGGGTTACCTGGAAACCACGTTTGCTGAACGCAAGGCAGTCATTTAGCTGTGCTCTTTAATGAGAAGGCAAGGCTGGGCAGAAAGATCCATGCCAGCCTTTGGTTCTATCTCACAAGACACTCTCTGTGCTCGTGCACCTTATTTAAATCAGCGAGCAAGAGCTGTTTGACACCCTTTTCTTCTGCTCCCCCAAAAGATTCAGGTTCCTGCCACCGGTCCATGTAACCACTAAGTCACCACATGCCCATATATTCTGCCTGTAAAAGTCACAACCAAAATCTGAATGTCTCTATTGCAGGATAGTATGTTAAAGAATAGGAAATGATGACTCTTGCCTTTTTTTTTTGTGTATCTTCTGCTTTCTTCAAGGAACACTTCAAATAACTTACTTGGCCTGTTTAAAAAACAATATAAAGACTACACCCTTTCACTCT